ACATGTTCATATTCTTTGCTAGTCCCGGTCCAAGACCTGCAGTCAGACCCTGTGGTCCCTTTCTGTTCCTCGATGCCTGGTCTAGAGCAGCACTTGGCTTGGATCCACGTATGCTTTTTCCTACAGTTGCTTTTCAGTATCAGCTGCACTGAGTCCAATTCGGAGTATAAATACTTGTCTGTGCATTTGGGTATGAAAATGTTTGGAGGTTCCAAACACTCAGGTGACTGCAGCTAGTATATGAAGAATGTGGATGTTTGGAGTTATTCTCCGAATGGGCAGAAGTCCTCCATCTTTATCCCATGCTACACTTGCTTTCCACAACCACCATCTGGGTGACTGCTGTCTCTGCAAGATATATTTCCCAAACTAGTTTTTTTTTTCTTTCTGATACTGATTGAATGCTCTGGTCTCACAGCACCACCCTCCTATTACAGACAAGGTGGTAGAACATAATGTCTGTCATCTGTTGAACTTGTTTGATTATGCATCCACATGTTCATATTCTTTGCTAGTCCCGGTCCAAGACCTGCAGTCAGACCCTGTGGTCCCTTTCTGTTCCTCGATGCCTGGTCTAGAGCAGCACTTGGCTTGGATCCACGTATGCTTTTTCCTACAGTTGCTTTTCAGTATCAGCTGCACTGAGTCCAATTCGGAGTATAAATACTTGTCTGTGCATTTGGGTATGAAAATGTTTGGAGGTTCCAAACACTCAGGTGACTGCAGCTAGTATATGAAGAATGTGGATGTTTGGAGTTATTCTCCGAATGGGCAGAAGTGGAGGAGAATACCAGCAGGGAGTGTGGAGTTTCCATCCTGGGAGATGCTCAACCCAGACTGGAAAGAGCCTTGAGCAACCTGAGCAAATCTAACCTGCTCTGAGGGAGAGGTTGGACCAGATCACTTTGAAAAGCCCCTTCCAGCTGCAGTAGTTCTGTGGATCTATACCTCTTACTCAGTTGGTCTGTGAGGTATTAGCATTGACTGGGTGGATTACTCTTCGGGCAGGGGAGAGGGCAGGTGAGGTCTAGGGGAAGGGAGAGTGTTTAGAAATACGATTTCATTTATATGGGTTCCTTACACTTTATTTGTCTGTGCTGTCGTTTTGAGAGGCCTCCTTTCTTCTAACTTCACTATATATGGTTTTCCTGTCTCTGCCACTAACACTGTACACAAGTGCATCGGAGTTGAGATTGATAACTCAAAATTGAGCCTCAGTGCAACAGGAATTGTTAAAAGAGTGAACTGGATGTCACTGGTGCACTCAGTGAGCACAGCCAGACACAGGCTTCACAAGATAGACTCGAATGGCTTGCCATAGGAGGGTCTTGGAGATAGAGTACAAATTAGTGTATTTTATATATTCTGTCCTAATTATATTCTCATGCTCAGAAAGATAAGAGAAAGAGCAAATGTGACTTTCTTTTAATAAGATATTAATAAGGACATGGGGGAATGGGCACCTACACGCTGCCTTCTTCAAACACACAACATACTATGATGCATAATATTTCTAAAAATGGGAGAAATGCTGAGATGTTCGGACTGACATTTCAGTGCCTGTCTGATTTCAGCGTCTGTCTGAAATATAGGGTTCAATAATCCTATTATGTGTGTCTGGCACACTGCTCCTTCTTTAGCAATGTGCCTCTCATAAGTGCTATAATAAGACAGAGCAGCCAAAGCCTAATGCTGCGTGCCTCATCCTATCTATCAGCAAAGTTATATCGTCATCAGATGCAATCTATTGTTTTCTTTCCTGCTGTGTGGTATTGATTTTTCTAACCTTTCCTAATGTTAAATTTGTTTGGCTTTTTAACTTTCTTACCAAAGGTTAATGTTATTAAGTTGAGCAGGTATCTATACAACTACAAGCGTTATTGCCTATCTTGCAATTGTTATACTGTCCTTTCATTAAACCCTGGCTGCATCGGAAGGCTCCATCTTGAAGATTTTTGTCATTCAGGAATAATATCGTGAAGGTTGACAAGAACTGCATTTGAATTGTCATCCAGTTCTGTGGTATAAAGTGTTGGAGTTGATATGTCAGGAGCAACGGATTTATCTAAAACTCTCGTACTGTCAGTGAATATGAACTGCACAGACATTAATTACAGCGAGGCTGTAAAGGGGATGCAGGAAGATGAGAGTGCTGCTGCCTGTCCCCGGCACGGTCCAACCACGCCAGTCTCTTTGCCGTTGTGGCAAAAGCAGCAGATCTAAAATCTCCGGCAGTTCCGGAACTGGTTATCTGCTTGATGTGGAAAGACAATAAGAAATCACAGCTTCGTCTGAAGGAAACGGTGCCTTTAACAGCAGTGCTCTGTCAACGTTTTTCAGTATGATCTACAGCAGTGCTTGTATGGAGTGTCAAAGGTGCAGGCAGTGAGGGAGCAGTCAGCATACCACTGTTAAGGCAGGTTTTGGTTTTCGTTACTGCTGCCACGGTACCTTCTTGATATCAATATCACGGGTACAGTAACCTGCCTTCAATGCATTGTGCATTTGACATCCCGTTTACACATTTAGATTGCATTTCTGTGGCGTGTATTTGAGGCTTTTTATTGTGAATATGTGCAAAAGACAGCAGCAGGGCTGAACATGGGATTGCTATGTGTGGTGCATCACGGCTTTCTTCTGGAGCTGTGGTAAATGACCTATGGTGCGCTCCAGCCACCACGCTGGCGTTAGCTTGCCTTGGTAGTACCCTCTAGTTGATCTGAAATATTTTTCTTATCAAGGAACATACTGACAAGTTAGGCAAGAGCTAGCCTCAAGTGCAATGTTTTTATTAGTAGAAAGCGTAAAATAATAAATAATAGAATAATTTAAGCTGTTGTAGTTCATCACTTCAAAAAAACCTAGACAATTTGGTCTTTTCTGGGTGGAAAGCAGAATTGCAGCTGCCAAAACCTGACTGTCCAAGGAGGAGATCAGGCTTGTTAGTGACTGCAGGAAGGAGTATTTCAAAGTGCTGGGGGAGAGCGGGGGGTGAAATCTATTATTTATAAATCAGTACCTATAAACCACTTACTTGTGCCAGCACTGAGAAGCCAGGGAATGGCCCTGGAAAAAGATAAAAGACCTCCCTTCTCTACTGCTAATTTAAGAGCTGGTATCTCAGGTTCTGTCTCTTCTCCCATGCTCAGCAGTAGCTGTCCCTGCTATTGATTTAGTCTTCATCTGTCACGTTCTCATGCTGTTCAAAGGCTGATTGTGAAAGACTGGGGAGGTTCTGTCTGTTCACAGTTTCTCACAGCTTGGTCTCTCTTGCCACTATCAATGCCGATAACGAGACTGTCTGAAAGCACCCCGTTCTTAGTGAATGAGACATCTTTTCATCTGGAGTGGCTTTGATTAACAAATTCCCTTCAGCAGTTGTCAGATCCAACCGTGAGCTTTCTGGGTGGGCCTGAACATCCCTGTACCTTTCTTGGGCTCCTTCGGTGTCTCTGGCTGGCATTGCACAACTCACATGTTCATTACAGATGGCAGATGGCTTGTGTCCCTTCTCCCCCTGCCAGTTTTGTGTTCCAGCCTTTCCTGGTGAAGAGCAGAAACTTGGCAGCTCTTCAAATTGTTTGACGCTTAGCACTGAGTCCAGGCTCCAGCTCCATTTTCCCCAGCTTCTTCGTGGTGGCAGCAGCACGGTTTCTTCACCGGAGGTCTTTGATTACACATGCAGTTGCAGCTACGTGATGCTTCACCTTGACTGGCCTGTTAATACTGCTTGAAAAGGTATTTAGAGCAATATCAGGTATCAGAAGGGCTACTGCTTTTGACCAGGTTTCCTTTCAGAAGTTTCTGAAGAGGGAGGAGAAGAAGTATAATGCAAAGCATGCCGTTATCTGCTCCTTTATCTCTTCCGTTTCATCTGAATCCCCTACTGCGTGATGGGTTAGTTTGGTTTTGCAGGCATTCTGGCTGTGGGAGGAAGCATTTCGGTGACAGTGTACGTCTGCCTATTGGAGGCTCATTATATTCTTGCGTGCAATTCACTAAACTCCATCCATGCACTGATCTGGGTAATTTTGTCTGCTGTACCTTTATTTTTACCACCGAGGTAGAGGCAACTTCAACATTTTGGGGTATTTTCCGGTGTGACAAAATAATGTACTTTATACGCACAGGCACACATACAAAGATTCTGCAGTCTGAATGCTTTTCTCTTAGTAGTTGTTATTGTGTATAGCAGAAACATAAAAGCTGTCAGATAAAGACAAAGCTAGGAGACTTTTAAGGGGACCTTGAAGTGGTAGGAGAGGGAACCTCTAAATCCAGCGTGTATGGTTCTTATTTTAATTTACGATGCTGTATTGGGTATTCCGTATCCTTGAAACCTCTTTGGATAGTGACTTTATGTGGTAGATATACTCCAGTCTTCCTTACTCAGCTTTTTATCAGAGGCTGAGGAATTGCTTTAACTCTCGGTTAAGAAATCTGAACTCCTGCTCTTCTCCACTGTAATACGCACGCATCCGTATTACCCCACTGCAAGGAAATTGTTGTTGTGTCACTGCAAGTGAACTAGAACAACTGCACTCGTTCCGGGAAGCTTGAACACTTTTGTATGCTTACATTTATACACATCTGAATATATGCAGCAGAAACGTAGTAACCGTAGCACCAGGGAGTACAGGCATTTTCCTGGAACCTGATGCTGGAAGTTACTGATCACCCCGAGCTTGCTACACCAGGACTCGCCCATCCAGCTGAGCATCGTAGCACATGCTTATCCAAGCTCACAAATGTACGCAATGGCTTTTGAATATCTGCTCCCGTGCCTATCAAACTGCTGTTTCATAATAATGAATTCAGCTGCAACCTACAGTCTTTGGGCTCTGTAAGGGTAATAGTCTTTTGCTTAATTCTGCATCTCCATGCAAAGACTTGAAGAGTTGTTGACTGCGGTTAATTCCACCAAAGGCAGCATTAGTTCTCAAAATTGAAAAATTACTCACATTATTTTTTTTCTCTCCATTTTGTTGTTTCTTCATTAGGGATGTGAGTTAATTGAGACCATGGATCAGGCACTCACAGATTTCACCAAGTGCCTTCAGATACTCCAGAAAAAGATAGAGAAGAAGGGCCTCCAGGTAAGGCAACACATCTTTTGCCTCTGTTTTTTAGGAATTACTCTTCCTCTCAGTGTATTTGGGTTTATGTTTTTAAGTTTGCACTGAAATGAAACAATATTTTCTGTAGCCTTGCCATTCTGCATTTCTGCCATAATTTACTGCACACCTTGTGAGCATTGATGCTTCTGCTAAAAGGAATTGCACAGTGTGTCAAGGAACCAGCATTGGCTTTCTTAAAAGGCAGCTTGTATTGATCTCTGTTAATGAACTACCCAAAGTGCAGAAGAGCTGTTGCGGCTGGTGTTCAAAGCAAGAGTCCCACTTCAGCATGTAAATGTTTTTTCGAGCCTTGGCACACTGAGCCTTGATGTTCATCTCCTTCCTTTCCCCTCCCACAGGTGAGATGGGGGGGAATCTTATCCTGCCAACATTACATATGGTGATCAATACCTCCTTCTGCAAAAGGTTCCCCTGGAATCAAAGGGAACCTTTGCAGAGCAAGCAGTGCACTAAACTTAAAAGGAGCCATATGGAGTTGGCAGCTGCTCATTTCATTGGAAAGGCAAAGGAGGTAATGTTCCCCCTCCCCTTCCACAGTTTGGTTTCAGAGGCCTGCTTGTTTTGTATCTCTGAGATGCAGAGTTAAAATTCCTTTGGAACTTCCAACATGATGAGTCGATGGCAGATGGGCTCTTGGGATTGCTGCTGTCTCCTCCCCATGGAGCAGCTCTACTTAAGGGCTAAGCTCTCTCTTCTGCTCTGTATCTGCTGGTGAAAGGAACTGAGAGGAAACGGCTGCTGCATCCTCTTACCCACAGTGAGGGCAAGAGTCGTGTAAGAAAATGAAAACAACAGCACAAGATGGAAGGAGATGTGTAAACCTCTTCTTTTCCCATTTTTTCATTGTAGCAGCATAGGAAAGTTGCCCGACTTGCTGAGAGAACTTAGACTCCAACAAAGCAGCAAGAGATGGAAATGCCAATACTACTCCCTCTTTCTTCTCTTCTCGCTCCAGGCTGATAAATAATTAACTACTTTTTGCTTACGTTATTTTGGAATGTCTTAATCTTCTAAAGGACATATGTGTCCATGGGACATTCCAGAGTGCTGTCGCACAATGTCTATCTACAATTCTGTCCCCTCATGCTGCTTACAATACGTACTGTTGTTCATCGGGGCTTTTTTCCCATCAGTATAGACAGAGATGGGAGGGTTTCTCCATAGACTTCTGTTACCTGTCTGGCTGTGAGTCAGGAAATACTTATATGATAGTTTATTTTTTTCCCCCTTTATTTTTTAATCACAAGAGCACAGAGAGCTGTCCTGCCATCTAGGACACGAATGATAATCAGTGCCATCGGACGAGGTGAGCCACCTATGCCTAGGATTTGTTTTGACTTTGACAAGCAAGGTGCTTCCCTTAACAGAATTACCCCTAGAATGAAGGAGAACTTGAGTGTTTGCTGGATTCGGTTCATTATCAAATCCCAGCTATTGCTGTAGAGGGATTTGTTTAAGCTGTCACAAGAGGTTTGATAATGAATAATCAATGTGTGGTTGAAATCAGAGCCATGGGAACATGACAGCTACAGATGTGTTTCAACAATAAGTTGCCTATTTGTAAAACTTTGAATTCTTTGATCGCTCTCCTAGCTAAAGCCCTGTGAAGTTGGCTAAAGGATTTGGCATTGTAATCATTGATGATATTTTATAAAGTACAAGCCAGACTGTAATTGCAGTAATGCTGTAGAGTTCATGCCAGTGCATTAAACTCAAGATTTCAGTTCAGTTATATTTTCATGCTGGTACATGTAAGATGTGTTTTAAATACAATCGAGTTTTTCAGAGGGGCAAGAAGTAACACTGATATGTTTGCTAACACTAAGTACCGTGTTTATTAAATCCTAGTTGCTTCTTGCTTGCAGTGTCTGTTCTATAAAACATAGTAAGATGCTATCAGCTGATTCATGCATCCTAGCTAAAGCATACATTTCTATTTTTGGTCTTCTGCACTTTCTGGCATAAGGAGTTTCAAGAAGTCGTTGATTCAACTTTGGCAAATAATATGTGAAACTTAAGCAAATAGAACTCAGAACTGTATCACAGCTGTATATATAAATTCTTATATCCAATGGGGGGAACAATTTGCCCTTTGTTCAGAAATATTAGGTATAATTCATTAGCAGGAGGCTTGGTGATTCTTCTGGATGTCCTGATAATGCAGTGCTTAGCTTGATTCCTGATCCCCAGTAACGCAGAGGTTCTGAGCACTTCAACATTTACTGGCCTCAGTTTATGGATGCAACCACTTGGCTCCTCCGAAACTAAATTTGCACTTCATTTAGGCATCTTTATGGGTAACATTCTAGCATGAAAAAAATTTCAAGTGGTAAGAAAAGAGACTGTTCAAGCCATAGATCTAAAATCTCTGAGGAGAATGTAGATTTCTTCACAGAAGAAAGCTGCCATTGAATTGGATGGTCACCTGGGAAGTACACACAACTAAGAAGAAAGGAACGGCTAGGGTCTGAAAACTAGAAGTGAATAGAGAAGGGGTTCTTCATCTGCATTTGCATTTCTGGCATGAAGTACAAACTCGCATGTCACAGTGTGGTTTTTTTTTTCTTCTGGAAAGAAGTATCATAAAAGCTGTCTTTTTAACTGAGAGTATTAACTGAGTGGAATATGTCCTCCTGGTTCCAGGAAAAAAAATTATGTCTCCAGCTTTGATTTTTACCCCCTCTGTCTGGCTTATCTAGAGCACTTGTCAAAGAGGAATATGTCAAAGAGACACTAGAAATCTGTTCCCCCATGATTTATAGTTGAAGTTACTAAACAAGGGAAGTATCTCCTTAGTATCTTAAAAAAAAAAAAAAAAAGAAAGAAAAATTGATACCACAGTCATGCTGTGTTTGCTGCTTGTTCTGGGTAGCAATATGTTAAGCTAGGAAATTAATTCCATTCATTGTATACCATGGATCCACAATCCTATGACATAATTTGTCTGAATGAAGTTCAGCTGTGAGGAGCTGAGGTGTTTGAAACAGGTCTTCCTCCGCCGGTTAGAGAATAAGTTATCATGTATCTGCTATACTGAAGGGATAAAATTTCTACTCTGAGCTGTCAGTCACCTCCATGGAAGTTCTGTCAAGGAGATTTTTGAGCTCATGTGAACGTATGGGGATAATATTTTGTTCCAAAGGAATGAAGTTTGTGTAATTTATTTTCCATGTCTCTGCATCTCCATCTTCCTCCTTCTCTTCCTTCCTGCTCACCCAAATAGCTGTTGAACAAATAATTTTTGAACAGAGGAATAGAATGCTGAAAGGCCACACTCACAGTCCACTGAGACACAAATCTGGGAGAAAAAACACCTTCTTCTTGAACTCCTTGTTTAACATAAGCAGTAGTAATTCTGTTTTCTAGAATAATTAGCCAAATTCATACCTGATTCTTCCTTGTGTCTCAAAGAATAACTCCTAGAATAGTTTCTGAATCCTCAGGGTCATTATTTATGGTTTACATTGCATATTTTGGTTGTATAGCCCAGTCAAGCAGAAAGCAGTGTTGGGGTCATTTTGCGATATCTAAGTCACCTAATTATATATATTTATAGTTACATACTGCAGTGAATGTTAGAACAGGCAGTACCCTTTTTATGTGCAAGCTAGAATCAGTCTTAATTTTCCCTTTCCACAGCCCTAATTCATTTGTGAATTGCATTGTATTGCAATGAAGCAGTGAAGTACCACCAACAGCATCTGACTCCTGAAGTTTCTTTCCAGCGTAAAGGCTGTTAGATATTTCTCTTTCTCTTTCTGCATGACTGTGAGTATGCATGCACACACGTGCACGTGCATGCATGTGGATAAAGGCACAAATTTTCTGGCGGTATACCTTCCTTGCCCTATATGATGCTTTCTTAATGTCTTAATAACTCTGTTTCTGCCGTGTGTTTCTTTTACGTTGTTTATGGTCTATTGAACACTTAGACGTGCACATTTTGCTTTACTGATTTAATCACTATTTTATCCATTCTGTGGTTATGTGAGTACTTTCCTTTCTTCATTACAAGACCTTCTGGTAAACTTATTTACAGTAATTTCTGTCTGGTACTACTTTCTGTTCTTAATTTTCTCTCACGTTAACACAAGCTATTTCAAGAAACCATCTGAACTGGCAAAATGGTAGGCATGCTTACCGTATCTCTTATTTAGAGATCAACAGATCTTGCATTAAAAGTGAACATTATTATCTTCGATTTGCAAATCGGAAAGCAGAAGTACAGAGGCAACTTGTCCACAGTCTCCCAGCATGCTAGTGGTACAGTTGGGGCAGATCCTCCAACTCCCAAGCTGCGTCAAGGGCTCTTTCCATCACAGTGTCCCTGCTCTGACTGACCGGCAGCTCACAGCAGCTCATGCCAGGGAGAAGTGGAAGCGTGTGTGTCAATTAGGCAGCTCCAGGAAGAATCCTCGTAACGTAAAGATAGATTTAAGGCATTATCTTTATCTCAGAGTTACAAACTCTGCTTTCTTGAACTGTTTCATCTAAAATACCATTTAGTCTTAAAACTAAGCTCTGGGACTTTTCATTTAACTTTATTATCTTTTCTGCTTAAAAAAAGTTAAAGCGGCTCATTTGGTTATATGAGCTGAAGATATAAAAAATGAATTTTATTGAAATCTACATGCCTTTTAGTGGTTTAATGTTAGTGTGTTTAAATTGATAAAAGCATCAGTGTCGATATGAAAAAGCAAAAAAATCCAAACCAACTCTTCCTAAAAACCGTTTTCAGTAAAGGGATACTATACTAACATTTCCATTTTTAAAATTACACTTTAAAGGTTCAATCTGTCGGCAGTCTAGGATATTACTTCTTCTAGATGAATACAGGCATTCTTTTTTTTGCCCTCTTAAAGAAACTGTCAAACCAGTCCACTTCCTTTTCTGTTGAAGAAGGCAAAACTAAATATAATGGTAGTGAAGTCCTGCGTTTACAAAGTGCTGAAGGGAAG